TTCTTCAGTTCCTTGAGCTTAAGAAATGCTGAGCGAGTTCGGCCCTTTTGATTTTCTGACTCGAGCTCCTCGCACATTTCATTGTAGTATTTTGCTTTGTCATTCCGAGCTGCCACACTGTAAAAGATGGTGGAATAAGATCCTCTGAGTAAAGGCTTTTATAACTGAATCCAGAACCATTATGTAAAAACAGCCTTGTGTGTATGTATAGTGTGTGTTCATGGTTCAGTAACCAGAGGCAAAAGAGGAAAAATTTTATTAGAAAACTTTTCCCTCCAACTTGAATTAAGTGATGAATACCTGAGTGCTATGGGGGAAGGCAGTCCACACTTCCTCAGTCTCCCATATGCATATTCTAACTAGTATGAGAAGATAGGACTTCAGGCTCTCTTGACAAAACAAGTAGCTACCTGAATGTCAAACCAGAGAGGTCAAGTTGGTATTGACATGTGTTGTTAGGTGTCGTTGAATTGATAACTCATAGTGATCCTGTGAACAATTGCTGTATTCTGCACAATCCCGTTTTCTGATAGGCCCAAACCCATTGTTACAGTTCAGTTCCTGTGTCAGTACATCTTGTTGAGAGTTTTTCTGTGTTTCCCTTACCATTTTCCTTTCCCAATGTGATAGTGGTTTCACAGACTGGCTTCTCCTGACAATATACCCACAGTATCTAAGACGAAGTTTTACCATCCTTGTCTCTGAGGATCTCCCTGTTCAAGCTTCCTCCTAGATAGACTTGTTATTTTCCTGGTCCATGGGATCATCAATACTCATATCCAGCACCACAGTTGAAAAGCTTTGATTGTTCTGTCATCCTTATGTTCATTATCCAACGTGAAGATGCATAGGAAGCAATTGAAAAGACCATGGCTTGGATCAGGAGCACCTTCGTGTTTAAACTGATATTGTTTTGCTCTATAGCACTTTACAGAGGTGTGTGTGGGGGGGTTCCTTTGTTAAAATTTACAGAGGTTTTTGACAAACAGTTTCCCAAACACAACACATTTTTTCATTCCCTAACTGCTGCTACCATGAATGCTGATTATTGATCTGAGTTAAATAATTGAAAACTCCATCTACCATTATGTTGTCTGTTAGTCCAGTAGTGAGGATTTTTGTTTTCTTGATGCTGAGGTATATTCCTTACTGAAGACTATAGTCTTGGTCTTCTCATCTGCATAACAGATTGTCAGTATGACTTCCTCTAACCCTGATATCTTGGAAGCAGGAGTGGCATACACTTTGGAAATAGTTTGACCCTGGAAACACTATGAACTTGGAGAAGTGATGAAAGTTATACAAGTTTTGGGTCTTTCTTTCATAGGGTTGCTATGAGTCATCTATGACTGGATGGCACTTAACACCGCAACAACCCTGATGCCACAGTCTTCAGAGAGTTCTAACTTCTCGAGTATAAAGACTGAATAGATACGGAGAAAGGATGCAGGCCTGATACAATTCCTGATTGTAAATCATGCAGTTTTCCCTTGTCATATTCAGACAGCTGTTTCTTAGCCTATGTATGAGTTTCACTTGAGCACTTTTAAGTGTTCTGAGATTCCCATTAATATCACCCATAATTTGTTAAGATCCACACAATCAAATGAGCAAGACATATTGTGAGGATGCTATAGGACAGGGCATGGTTCAGAACTGTTGTGTATGAGGTTGCTATGAGTCAAATTTATGACACCTAACAATAGTTCTGGAATAGAGATCTCAGTGATACCTTCTATGGATTGAAGCTGGTTACCTGGAGCATTCTGTTGATTGTTTGAAAGGAGTGTTATGTTGAAGCTGGGGCTCATCAGTAATAAAGAATGTTTGTCATTGTTGGGGTATCCTCCCAGCCCCCATTCATTCATGCGGTGTCTGCCAGCTGTAGACATCCTCAAATGTCAGGATATGGTAATAAGGCAGAATACTTTTAAACTTATTCATGGAATTTAGAGGGATAAAGGCAGAGACAGGCATTAAGTCCACAGACAAGAAAAATTTAGATAGTAAACAGGGCAAAGAAATAGAATATAAGAAACTGATGTACAAATTCATCATACTCTGAAAACTTGGCTTTTCAGATTTTTATGAGCATTAATGGAATTCAGACTGGAGGAAATGGGAATTTTATACTCACCTAAAAATCAACTTGGTAAATGTTCTCTTGGCATTTATATAACACTCTACAACTCCACCTTCAAAACCTTGAATCTAAATGTAGTTCAGAATTTGAAATAGTTTTATGTTGTGGTGGTTATGTACCTCTGCACCAACCCATAACTGATTCTCAGTGACTTTTCAGAGGCAGTCTAATCTCACAGGAGTAGATTGTCCATGTGTCTCCAGTTTTATGTTATAGAAAGTTAACTCAATTTGTTTATTATAGTTTATATACTCCATTCACTGAGGTTGAAGCTGACCTTATAATTTCCATACATTACAACTGCTTAAAATATGCATATAGGGTGACCCACGTTTCACTCCCAAGTTTACCCAGCAGAGATGAGTACACAAGAATCAGTGTTGATAGCAGCTTTATTTGTAACAGCTTGTAACAGACTTCTATGGTTTAAACAGTCAATCAGAAACAGAAAATAATCCCTAATTTTCTGTCCTTTTCTCTATTGCTTGGAAGGATGGCCACCAAATAACTACTAAGAAAATATTTTTTAAAAAAATTTTATTATTTTTTGTGTGTGTACCATCAAATCAGATCTGACTGGTTCAGGAGGAGATTGTCCCTCCTTCTCCGGCAGAGCATCTGGTGGATTTGAACAGTGTACCTTTGGGATGGCAGTACAACTTCTTGCCACTAGGCCACCAGAGCTCCCCTAAGAAAATACTTTTAAATGAAAGAGAAGATGAAAACCAATAAACATAAATTCCACAACAATGATCTTGTTATAGCTGAATTAGAACTGTAGTTGGAATGAAATGTTAAAGACAAATTTTATTGCATTCTACTCCAGTAATGGCAGACTGCACAGTACAGATCTTGGAGATCTGGGAAACACCTAATATCACTATTTAATACATATGCACTGGCTGAAACACAAGTCGATGACATCAGCTTCAAAAATTACTGCCTGAAAAAGTGACCAAGTTTAAGAAACTGCAAATAAAATAGGAACCAAATGGAGCTTTTTAGATAAAAGGAAAAAAATGGGATATTAAGTCATATTAACTCTCTGGTTAGATCTTATTTTGCCTTTCAAAAAACTCCACGAATTCTCTTGGTTGCCTAGAGATGATTGCCTTTGTATCCCACCAGATGGTTCAAGTCTTCTTTAAAAGGATTATAGCCTTGTTTCTTTAAGCAACGGAGTGCCCAGAAAAGCTGGTCTACTGGAGGGAATTCTTCCCATGGAACCCACTCCCAACCTACAACAGAAGGAAATCAAATCATTTAGGGAAAAAGAAACAAAAGGCACTTATTTTAGTAAGCTAATATACAACATACAGAAAACAATTTAAAAATTATTTGCTACTAAAAATAGGTTGTGTATTAGTTTGAGTTGTTGTTATGTGCCATCGAGTCGTTTGCGACTCATAGTGACCCTGTGTACAAGAGCTCTATACGCTCTTCTGTGTCAACCTAGCCATCTCAAACGCACTTATTCCCACCTCTCTAGTCACAGAATCGATCCATCTCATCAAAGGTCTTCCTCTCCTTC